GACAGAGCTATTGATTCTTATTGGATTGTCTATATTGAGGGTGGAGACGAACTCAGGTTCACCGCATCCCGGTACCTTCTTCACTACCAAGAGCATCGATAGAAGTCCGCTACCCATCTCTAGGAATTTAAGAACTGAAGCGGTCAGCACAGTTTTGCGAGACAAGGAGGAAGCAGAAAAACACAATTAGGACACAAATTTGGACGAAGAGAAGAGGGAAGATCCCGACAAGTAAAGGGCGAATGTCTGGCGGGAGTGTTTAGTGGTTCCCATAACGAATGAGCGGTCAGCGGTACATAAAAGTCACCCTACAAGTAAAAATTGTTTTAAAAAACAAGTCACGGACACGTTAGGGGTCACATGTACGTGTACTACTCCATGCAACAACCTTTATTCAACTTCTAGTGGTAATAATGCAATATGCATAGGGTAGTGTAAACATAGATGGCATGCTAGTACTAGTACCCAATGCTGATACACAACGACAGAGCTATTGGTTCTTATTGGATTATCTATATTGAGGGTGGAGACGAACTCAGGTTCACCGCATCCCGGTACCTTCTTCACTACCAAGAGCATCGATAGAAGTCCGCTACCCATCTCTGGGAATTTAAGAACTGAAGCGGTCAGCACAGTTTTGCGAGACAAGGAGGAAGCAGAAAAACACAATTAGGACACGAATTTGGACGAAGAGAAGAGGGAAGATCCCGACAAGTAAAGGGCGAATGTCTGGCGGGAGTGTTTAGTGGTTCCCATAACGAATGAGCGGTCAGCGGTACATAAAAGTCACCCTACAAGTAAAAATTGTTTTAAAAAACAAGTCACGGACACGTTAGGGGTCACATGTACGTGTACTACTCCAAGCAACAACCTTTATTCAACTTCTAGTGGTAATAATGCAATATGCATAGCGTAGTGCAAACATATATGGCATGCTAGTACTAGTACCCAATGCTGATACACAACGACAGAGCTATTGGTTCTTATTGGATTGTCTATATTGAGGGTGGAGACGAACTCAGGTTCACCGCATCCCGGTACCTTCTTCACTACCAAGAGCATCGATAGAAGTCCGCTACCCATCTCTGGGAACTTAAGAACTGAAGCGGTCAGCACAGTTTTGCGAGACAAGGAGGAAGCAGAAAAACACAATTAGGACACAAATTTGGACGAAGAGAAGAGGGAAGATCCCGACAAGTAAAGGGCGAATGTCTGGCGGGAGTGTTTAGTGGTTCCCATAACGAATGAGCGGTCAGCGGTACATAAAAGTCACCCTACAAGTAAAAGTTGTTTTAAAAAACAAGTCACGGACACGTTAGGGGTCACATGTACGTGTACTACTCCAAGCAACAACCTTTATTCAACTTCTAGTGGTAATAATGCAATATGCATAGGGTAGTGTAAACATAGATGGCATGCTAGTACTAGTACCCAATGCTGATACACAACGACAGAGCTATTGGTTCTTATTGGATTGTCTATATTGAGGGTGGAGACGAACTCAGGTTCACCGCATCCCGGTACCTTCTTCACTACCAAGAGCATCGATAGAAGTCCGCTACCCATCTCTGGGAATTTAAGAACTGAAGCGGTCAGCACAGTTTTGCGAGACAAGGAGGAAGCAGAAAAACACAATTAGGACACAAATTTGGACGAAGAGAAGAGGGAAGATCCCGACAAGTAAAGGGCGAATGTCTGGCGGGAGTGTTTAGTGGTTCCCATAACGAATGAGCGGTCAGCGGTACATAAAAGTCACCCTACAAGTAAAAATTGTTTTAAAAAACAAGTCACGGACACGTTAGGGGTCACATGTACGTGTACTACTCCAAGCAACAACCTTTATTCAACTTCTAGTGATAATAATGCAATATGCATAGGGTAGTGCAAACATATATGGCATGCTAGTACTAGTACCCAATGCTGATACACAACGACAGAGCTATTGGTTCTTATTGGATTGTCTATATTGAGGGTGGAGACGAACTCAGGTTCACCGCATCCCGGTACCTTCTTCACTACCAAGAGCATCGATAGAAGTCCGCTACCCATCTCTGGGAATTTAAGAACTGAAGCGGTCAGCACAGTTTTGCGAGACAAGGAGGAAGCAGAAAAACACAATTAGGACACAAATTTGGACGAAGAGAAGAGGGAAGATCCCGACAAGTAAAGGGCGAATGTCTGGCGGGAGTGTTTAGTGGTTCCATAACGAATGAGCGGTCAGCGGTACATAAAAGTCACCCTACAAGTAAAAGTTGTTTTAAAAAACAAGTCACGGACACGTTAGGGGTCACATGTACGTGTACTACTTCAAGCAACAACCTTTATTCAACTTCTAGTGGTAATAATGCAATATGCATAGGGTAGTGCAAACATATATGGCATGCTAGTACTAGTACCCAATGCTGATACACAACGACAGAGCTATTGGTTCTTATTGGATTATCTATATTGAGGGTGGAGACGAACTCAGGTTCACCGCATCCCGGTACCTTCTTCACTACCAAGAGCATCGATAGAAGTCCGCTACCCATCTCTGGGAATTTAAGAACTGAAGCGGTCAGCACAGTTTTGCGAGACAAGGAGGAAGCAGAAAAACACAATTAGGACATGAATTTGGACGAAGAGAAGAGGGAAGATCCCGACAAGTAAAGGGCGAATGTCTGGCGGGAGTGTTTAGTGGTTCCCATAACGAATGAGCGGTCAGCGGTACATAAAAGTCACCCTACAAGTAAAAATTGTTTTAAAAAACAAGTCACGGACACGTTAGGGGTCACATGTACGTGTACTACTCCAAGCAACAACCTTTATTCAACTTCTAGTGGTAATAATGCAATATGCATAGGATAGTGCAAACATATATGGCATGCTAGTACTAGTACCCAATGCTGATACACAACGACAGAGCTATTGGTTCTTATTGGATTGTCTATATTGAGGGTGGAGACGAACTCAGGTTCACCGCATCCCGGTACCTTCTTCACTACCAAGAGCATCGACAGAAGTCCGCTACCCATCTCTTGGAATTTAAGAACTGAAGCGGTCAGCACAGTTTTGCGAGACAAGGAGGAAGCAGAAAAACACAATTAGGACACGAATTTGGACGAAGAGAAGAGGGAAGATCCCGACAAGTAAAGGGCGAATGTCTGGCGGGAGTGTTTAGTGGTTCCCATAACGAATGAGCGGTCAGCGGTACATAAAAGTCACCCTACAAGTAAAAATTGTTTTAAAAAACAAGTCACGGACACGTTAGGGGTCACATGTACGTGTACTACTCCAAGCAACAACCTTTATTCAACTTCTAGTGATAATAATGCAATATGCATAGGGTAGTGCAAACATATATGGCATGCTAGTACTAGTACCCAATGCTGATACACAACGACAGAGCTATTGGTTCTTATTGGATTGTCTATATTGAGGGTGGAGACGAACTCAGGTTCACCGCATCCCGGTACCTTCTTCACTACCAAGAGCATCGATAGAAGTCCGCTACCCATCTCTGGGAATTTAAGAACTGAAGCGGTCAGCACAATTTTGCGAGACAAGGAGGAAGCAGAAAAACACAATTAGGACACGAATTTGGACGAAGAGAAGAGGGAAGATCCCGACAAGTAAAGGGCGAATGTCTGGCGGGAGTGTTTAGTGGTTCCCATAACGAATGAGCGGTCAGCGGTACATAAAAGTCACCCTACAAGTAAAAATTGTTTTAAAAAACAAGTCACGGACACGTTAGGGGTCACATGTACGTGTACTACTCCAAGCAACAACCTTTATTCAACTTCTAGTGATAATAATGCAATATGCATAGGGTAGTGCAAACATATATGGCATGCTAGTACTAGTACCCAATGCTGATACACAACGACAGAGCTATTGGTTCTTATTGGATTGTCTATATTGAGGGTGGAGACGAACTCAGGTTCACCGCATCCCGGTACCTTCTTCACTACCAAGAGCATCGATAGAAGTCCGCTACCCATCTCTGGGAATTTAAGAACTGAAGCGGTCAGCACAGTTTTGCGAGACAAGGAGGAAGCAGAAAAACACAATTAGGACACAAATTTGGACGAAGAGAAGAGGGAAGATCCCGACAAGTAAAGGGCGAATGTCTGGCGGGAGTGTTTAGTGGTTCCCATAACGAATGAGCGGTCAGCGGTACATAAAAGTCACCCTACAAGTAAAAGTTGTTTTAAAAAACAAGTCACGGACACGTTAGGGGTCACATGTACGTGTACTACTTCAAGCAACAACCTTTATTCAACTTCTAGTGGTAATAATGCAATATGCATAGGGTGGTGTAAACATATATGGCATGCTAGTACTAGTACCCAATGCTGATACACAACTACAGAGCTATGTTGTGTGCTGCAGGGGCCATGCCCCCCCCAGCCTGAGTAAAATATGTGAAAGAAAAAAAATGGAAGGAAAGATTAGGGAAAATATAGACTTTTGGCCCCCCCAAACATCTATATATTATGTCTGCCCCCCCCACAAAGATTTAACCTAGCTCCGCCAGTGCTGATACACATGGCTAGTACCCAATGCTGATACACATGACTATCTAGTGAGTCCATGCAGCTGGATTGGTCATGATGCTGCATGTAGACCCCGAACTTGAAGTAGTAGGACTCGCTTGGGGTCACGCTGGTGCTGAACTTGCGCTCGCCGTCGACATACACGGCCACCGTGGATGTGCCGACATCGTGCATCACGTTGAGTCGGAACCACCAGTCGTAGATGTTGGGCTCAACGGCCGCCCCACTATAGAAGCGCAGGACGCCGTCGTAGACATGCAACATCAAGAGTGTCGAGTGCGCAGCGCCCTCCTGGTTGTGGATTTGCATCACTGACACGCCGGAGGTCCCCGACGGCACGTAGCCGTAGCCCTCGAACTGCCACACCCCCGACGAATAGTCGTGGCCCTGGAATAGTAGGATAGCTCATTTACCATGGCCGATTTGGAGCGCAGGAATTTCAAAAACAATGTGGTTTGTACTTACTCAGAGCCGGACTTCGGAGCGCGGGTTGGTGTGGGTGGCGGTGTTAAAGGGTTTGTCGTTTCGGTGCACCCAGAAGGTGCGCACGCCATTGTGGTACCGGAACCGGCACGTTGTACGGGCTCTGCACCCGAAAGTCCCCGTCGGCGAGCTGCACCTTCTGGAACCCGGCGGTGGGGTTCCCACTGCCACGGGCCGCCGCCGCGAGGGCATGCTGCAGGAAGGTGGTCATGGCCACGAGAAGCACTAGGAGACGAAGCCATGGATTTGTGAGAGAAGCCATTGCTGCAAGCTGTGAGGAAGAGGAGGGGGAAGAGCCGAAGAGGTGGAGCACTAGGTAGCTAACTGATCTCTAGCTAGCAAGCAGAAGCTGCCTTGGTTCAGATCGATGTGGGAGAAAGAAGATTGCGCGAGTTTAAATAGCAAATCGGTCAGTTTGAGGCGTGCGGGTGCCTGGATGCAGCTGGCGTTCACTCTGCGGCTCTGCCTGACGTGCATTGGGGTGCACCGTACATACGTTCTACTCCCTTCGTCCCATAATATAAAAACGTTTTTAACATTATACTAGTGTGAAAAACGTTCTTATATTATGGGACGGAAGGAGTAATTTTCAAGCACGCACGTACGCGTACCTAGTAGCCCAGTTGTGCGATTGGACATGCAGTCCTTTTCTTCTCCGTGTGCTCTCTTGGACTTGTGATTATTCAGAGAACAGGGGAGCCAAGCACCCTGCTTGAAACGTCGGACAGGCTTCATGCCGGACAGGCAGCGTACGTGTCGCTGCACGCCTGCACTTCATGCTGGAACATTCTTGCGTTTCTTTTTTTTTTTTGCGAAAGGAACATTCTTGCGTCCTAGTTATATATACATTATTACAGGATAACACGTGCTTTGCTACGCCGTTCTTCAGTTCTGAAAATTAACTCTAGTTTTCTCCCGAAGCTTCTTATGTCGATTCACATTCCGCTGCTTACCCACGGAGGCGGTCGAGTAAACATGTACCCCACGGGGCGATATTGGGTTGGTCATTTAGGGAGGTCCTTCCGATTTTGGGAATGTTTTGTTTGGTTCTTTCTTATCTAATTATTTCCATGTTTCATTTTACCGTTCATTTATATATTTCCTTTACTTTTTAGTTTTTATATTTGTGGATGTCTTTCAAATTTATTTTAAAAAATCAACATCAAGAAACATAATTTACGTGACAGATTTTTTTTTGGAAAAAACAAAGCGTTTTCTTATAAATTTGCGAAGAAAAATATAAAGCGTTTTCAACACTGACTCTGATTTGCTGACAAGTAGGTAGCACCTAGATTATCACACCATAAACATGGAGATCTAGTGCTTTTCATACCTAGTTCCTTTAGGATTGACTGCACCCATATGATTTCTACTGTTGCATTTGCCAATGCCTTGTATTCTGCCTCTGTACTGGATCTTGAAACTGTAGCTTGCTTCCTTGCACTCCAAGATATTAAATTAGGTCCAAAGAAAACTGCAAAGCCACCAGTTGAACGTCTGTCATCTAGACATCCAGCCCAATCAGAGTCAGAGAATGCACTGATAAGTGTAGAGGATGACTTGCTGAAATTTAGACCAACATTCAACGTATTTTTCACATATCTTACTATACGTTTTGCAGCAGTCATATGAACAGTGGTAGGTGCATGAAGAAACTGACATACTTTGTTAACAGCAAGGGAGATGTATGGTCTAGTCAGTGTTAAATACTGAAGTGCACCTACCAAGCTTCTGTATTTTGTACCATTTTCTAAGCTCAGAGGCTCTCCTTCAACAAGTGATAATTTTTCTGTGCTAGATAAGCGAGTGGGTGCAGGCTTACAATTTTGCAACCCAGCCTTTTTTACCAAGTCTGTTGCATACTTTTCTTGAGATAGGTGAAGGCCATCCTTATGTTGCTTTACCTCAATGCCAAGAAAATAATGCAGATCTCCTAAATCCTTGAGAGCAAACTCTGCACTCAAGTCCTTCAACAGTGCAGTTATTGCTTCATCAGATGAACTTGTCACAATTATACCATCAACATATATGAGAACAAATATGGATATACTGGACTTGTTGTAAATAAACAATGAAGTCTTAGATTTTGAAGAAACAAAACCAAGTGCTTGCATCTTTTTACTGAGACGAGAATACCATGCTCTTGGGGCCTGCTTTAGTCCATACAATGCTTTGTCAAGCTTGCACACATGAAGTGGTGCACGTGTGTTTTTAAACCCAGGTGGTTGTTTCATGTAAACCTCTTCTTCCAGAACACCATGAAGAAACGTGTTCTGAATATCTAGCTGACATAAACTTCATCCCCTGGACACAACAATAGACAAAACAAGACGAATAGTAGCAGCTTTTACAACTGGACTAAACGTGTCCTCATAGTCAATACCATACCGTTGTTTAAAACCTTTTGCAACGAGCCTGGCTTTGTAACGGTCAATAGTTCCATCAGCTTTCCTTTTTATCCTAAAGACCCATTTGCAGTCAATAAGATTTTTACCTCATTGTGGAGGAACCAGATGCCATGTTCTATTTTTCTTAAGTGCTATGATTTCATCATGCATGGCTTTTCTCCAGTTTGCATCACCCAAAGCTCCCTCAAGAGTATTGGGTTCTTCTGGTTCACCTGTAGAACATACCAGCCCATATTTTGTAATATATTTATAATTAATAGGTTTAATTACCCCTTGTTGCAATCGTGTTCGACGTGGAGGAGTAGCAGCAGGAGCTTCTGTAGAGAAATCCGGCGTAGAAGATCCTGGGTCTGGATCAAGCTGATCCCCGCCTGATCCCGAGGAGGATACGCGCGGGCCTCCAGAGCCGGCAGCGTCACCAGGCGATGACGGGGTAGGATCTTCTGTGGTCGTGGAGCCTGATGCAGGGAACGATTTCGCCACAGAAGATCTGGGCATGGATGCATCATCACGACCCAATGATTGCCTGGGCCCCGGGCTGGTTGGATCTGTCCCCGCGCCCACCTGACGAGCAGTGGCGGCACGGCGCGTGTACACATGCAGTTGGGCCTCCCGCCGGACACGGCCCGAGCCAATGCCGGCCTGCCGCTTGTCGAGCGCGGAGTCATGCACGCGAGGAGAAGCACCGCAGCCCGCCAGCCTTTGCCGCGTGGCTGATGCGGACTCGGTCGCGCGCTCGTCTGCGCCTGTCGTGGTCGACCCGGCAGGATCGCTGCCAGACGCGGGTCCCGAGGAAGATCCGCTGCATGGCTGCTGCACCTGGGGTGATCCCGAGGTAGATATGTCCCCCGAGCCATGACACATAAAATGAGGACCTGCTGCTCCATTTTCTTCATTGTTTTCTGCTGCAATTTTTGCACTGTTTTCTGCATCATCACGAGACTCATGAAGGCTATTAGTAGGGTTAGTCAACATATGATCATCACAATTTGTAATACCCCCTTGATCATAGCTGGAAAGATGAGAGGGTAGAAGCAAGATCTCCTTGCGGAGTAGTGCACCGGCTTAGGATGAAGATCCGCAAAAGGGAATTTTGTGTCATCAAAAACAACATCACGTGAGATGTATACCCTATCAGTAGAGATGTCAAGGCACTTGACGCCTTTGTGTTGGGCGCTATATCCAAGGAAAGCACACCGTTTTGACCGAAACATGAGTTTGCGGTTATTGTAAGGCCGAAGATTTGGCCAACACGCACAGCCAAAGACACGAAGAGAGGTATAGTCTGGCTTTGTATGTAGGAGACATTCCATAGGTGTTTCATTGTTGATGACACGGCTAGGTAGCATGTTGATGATGTGGACGGCTGTAAGAAAGGCCTCATCCCAAAACTTAAGAGGCATGAAGGCTCCTGCTAGGAGGGCCAAACCGACCTCAACAATGTGTCTATGCTTGCGTTCGGCTGACCCGTTTTGTTGGTGAGCGTGAGGGCATGATACATGGTGAGATATACCTATGTTTTGGAAGAAGGAATTGATTTTCTCGTATTCCCCTCCCCAATTCGATTGGACAGCAATGATCTTGCTGTTGAACTTTCTTTCAACGAGAGCTTGAAAGTTGTGGAAAACTTGAAACACATCGGATCTTTTTTTGAGAAGATAGATCCATGAAAATTTGCTATAGTCATCGATGAAACTTACATAATATGTGTGTCTACCAATAGAGGAGGGGGAAGGCCCCCACACATCAGAAAAGATCAATTGCAAAGGTTTGGTGGAGACACTAGTAGAGATGGGATATGGTAATTGATGACTTTTAGCACACTGACATGAATCACAAATAGTTTCAATATTGCGCTCACCAACAAACGGGAGCTTATTTTTCCTAAGTAACTTTTCAACCAAAGAAAAGGAGGCATGTCCTAAACGATCATGCCATCGTGTGGACGACAGCTTGATGGCACCACAAGCTTGTTTATTGAATCTTCTAAACTCCGGAATCAACGGGTAGAGCCCTCGAACGCATCTACCTCGATAGAGAACTTTCTTCGTGGCCTGATCCTTGATCAAAAAGAAGAAAGGATGAAACTCGAGAAAAACATGATTGTCAATAGCAATTCTATGAACAGAGAGAAGATTCTTGTGAGCACTAGGGACATGCAGGATTCTTTTGAGATGAATTTTACGACTAGGGGTATTAAAAATTGAGTGGCCAATGTGACGTATGCCCATACCTTCACCATTGGCCGTATGAATTTGATCTTTGCCACAATATTTCTCCTTCATGGTGACCTTCTCGAGTTCGTTGGTGATGTGGTTGGTGGCTCCGCTATCAACGTACCAGTTGGTATCTACTCCATAGGAGCCATCGGCCGCCGCACCAATTTTCTCTTCATCTTGCGAGGAATCACCGTCATCTTCTTCGTAGCGGTACCAACAGTCCTTTGCCGTATGACCAGGTTTGCCATAGATTTGGCAGCGAGGCAAGTCTGGACGGGACCTGTTGGAACCACCACTGCCACCACCACGACGCCCTTTGGAGTTGCCGGAGCGTCCGCCGCCGCGTGAGCTGTTGGAGTAGCCACCACCGCCGGCGCCAAACCTCCCCTTGCCGCGGGAAGATGAGCGCGAGCGAGAGCCACCACCGCGGCCTCTGGATGCAGAGTTTGCCGAAGATTTGAAGCCACCGCCGGAGCCATGATACTGCGCCATGCGTTGATCAAAAGTTACTGAGCATGGCAAAAAGTTCATCGAGGGTTACCAGGGTGACATGGGCATCTAGTGC